TTTGAGCAATGTCGAGATCCCCCAGTTTGTTTTTGGCAAGAGGCCTTCTGGTGCCTCACTCGAGTGTTTGCTGAACGTTAATCGCTTTTGTTGGCTAGGCCATGTTCGCTTTAAACCCGTTTACCGGTTTCCTCGGCGTGCATTATACACCGTGGGTGCGTCAAATTTCGCAAACCGCGAGGTGGCGACAGGCTGGTTCGTGCCGTCTTTGTGGATGGGAGTCTCCGGATGGTCCACACCGATGTTTGGAGACCCTACCTGTGGTGTTCCTGCATCAGGTAGCTAATTTTCGTTGCATTCTGATTAGTTCAACACACTTTTCTTGCATCCATTATATTTACACTTTGTTTGCCTCTGACCCCATCTTGACATTTTATTGTTTGTTATTCTTGCAATGTGAGTCGTGGCAACTGGGTCCACCGCACTCCGGTGCTCGGATCATAGTTGTTCAACTGAATTGAACTGAATCGGTGAAACAACTAAGGACAGAGTTAGCACCTTCATTCATGATATCTTACGCCACACAGTTGCCTGGGCTGAACAATTTTGATGTCATTTTATTGTGCCCTTTGCTTTTGGATAGCTTTTCACCCATGCGGTGCATATATAACCGTCGCCAGCTTGTTTGGAGCTTCATCTGAATCCGAGGTTGGAAACGTCATTTCACTCATCAGCCATCTCCGCAAAGCTTGTCCAGATTTTTTCTAAATTACATAGTTGAGGAATCCCCTGCAAACTTTTGACTTTTCTCTCCAAAGATCTACTGAAAGAAGACTGCCTATTCATCTAGAGCAATGGTTCTTAACCTACATGACGATGTTACCCACTAAGCGATTTCACTTTAAGTGATTACCCCCTCCTCAATTTTAGCTTAAAATGCTAACTAACTGTTGTCATTTTTGCTTTCATTTTACTTAGATTTTATCATTCAAATAAGGATGCTACCTATTTTGAACCATTTTACATAATCCAGTGGTGATGTAACTTAATGAGACTGTTGATATTGCTTAGTTTCAACAATTTATGGTATATTTGCCTTGGTTTCGACAGATGCGAAGTCACTTGCTTTGGTGTGTGTGATCCCTGGTCCAACATGAGCAGATATTGATGGCTTCCTATTTGTTTCAGCCATCCCTTCCAAGTCTGTCCTGGAGGACAGCTTCCCACAACCACACTTTGTCGATACGTCCTGAACACTAATCGTCCGTTTTATCCCTTCTACCTTGTAAACACTCGCTCGCTCCTTTACTTGGTCGATTGACGTATGCTCCCACCTTAGTGTTCACTCAACTCCAATACGATTCGACGAACGACTGCCTGACTCGACGAGCGAGTCGATAGAGGTGCCATCTAGCCGCGCTGTTTTGCAGGCTTGCATTCGTAGTTTAGATAAAAAATCTTTTTATCGAAAGTTGTCTGATTCACTGACCACTTACTAATGATTAGTCACTGGCAGATAATCAATAATGATTAAGTATTTGATTGCGTTTTTTGAAACCGATGGAATTGTTATTGATTTATTTTGGCCAATGACTGATAACTCAGTCCTCGTACTTATATTTACCCCCGTAAAATTCCATTTTACCCACTTAGGAGTAAATAACCCCAAGTTGAGAACCACTTATCTAAAGCAATCTTTGAGCAACGCGCTTGAAAGTTCACGCTAAGTAAAGGTTATAAGTTAGCACAGTCACATCACTGCAGTTTGTCCGGTATTAGTTGCTTGGTAGCATCCGTTTCCGAATCTGTCACTGTGACTTCGAACAGCCAAAGAACCCTTGTACTTACAAAGGCACCATGAGTGGGTTGTGCTGCACCTCCCACAGTTCCATCCATCCACCCAATATCCAGTGTAAATCCGGAGACACAAGGCTGCGAGGCGTGTAGATGCAACTAGGCTTGATTCGGGGCCGACCTACAATCCTTCAACCTGCGCTTCATACGTATTCGACTGGGAAAGCATGCACACCAAACGTAAACAGGGTGGTGGCTGGTCCGTAGCTCGTTCCACCCTAGGTGTAACCGCTATTTGAGCCTAGCACTGTCACGAAGAATACCTGTCGACTCCTACAACAATGTTTCCCCGCCTCCTATAACCAGTGATTGAGGTTGTGGTATTTGACCGGTTGTTTTCAAACCTTTCTGAAACGGTGGGCGTCTTGTCAACATTGGCGTCAACCGCATTCAGATCTGGGATATCAGTTGGCAGATGCTATCAAACATGCAAAAACAGAAGCTCACTAAGGTAACTGCGGTCCAGCGATAACGACGGTGCAGCACAAATGTCATAACTTTCGAATTATTCATCCTTTTGTGAATGAAACCAATGATAATGTATGAATCGGGCGCTAACAGCGCAAGTTATAATGCGGGTATGCAGTTATCCCGTCCTGACTACCTGTGTTTGAACAGCGTTGCCCATACTTGTCAAATGCATAAAATGGATGCTGCTGATATGTGGCAGATGATAACAGTCCTTGTGATGTCGCATCTGACTCGTCACTGGTCGTGCACTACCACGCTGACTGTGTGATGTTGCTCACTTGCATCGAAGCTAGACCTTAGCATGATGCTTTGGTTTGCATACATCTCAACGATCAATCGAGCTATGCTGAATGTTGCCTTCTGCACCTTCAACTTCACTCATGCCGGATTGGTCACGTGTTAGGGGCCAGACAGACTCAGTCTCTTGTTTTCCCTAACTGGGATTGGATTAAGAGTTACTCCTTATTCCTTAGAATTTCCTCCCTGTGGTCCATTGCCAAACACCCACTTAACACCGTTATTTCATGCATCAGCTTGATCTATGTGTTACGCGAATCCCGCCACGCGCTTTGTTTGCACAACAGCGGTCTGGGTGGAGGAAAACAAGGTAAGGCCAGCTAATGAGGAATGGAGGAGGAATCGAGGAATGGAGACTCTCACTTCGAAGTTGGCCTCGGTTTATGCCTTCCGACTCCCTGGTTTACGTCCCAAGGACGATGAACCCGTTTAAGTGGAAACACTCGTTGACTTGGCCCAAAACCAACCTGATTGGCTTTTTTGTGTTTTGACCCCCTTCTTCAATATCTTCCCGCTTATCCGCCTGCTCCAATCAGGATCCCTTTCTTGCTACACAATGAGAGCAAGTCGTAATATTGTTTGTCATGTTTTCCGTTTTCCTTCTTTACCGCTATGTAATTATTTTTACGACACAACGATTTAGTCGTTTCTCACCATTAGCTAACTTGCGGAATAATGCATGTGTGGTGTGTTTTGTGTATCATCTGTGTGAATCCTTTATTCTAAAAATAAGAAAACGAATATTGTGGGATGACACTCATTCCGTGCATACTCACTTGTCACCTATATACAACTAACAAGGGATTCAAAGCAATGTCACATGAAATCGATTACCGGTCAACTGGTTTCCGATTGGCACGTTGCACGCTAAATCGGTAGACTTAATGTCGGTCAGTTGTTTTTGGACACATAAGACTTGGCGCTGTCGATCGATACCAATGAGCTCGAGGAGCTTGAGCATGTGGGCCTTTGACTGCACATCATGACTGTGAATGATGCATAGGAGTTTACTTGGCGACCGGTTCTCATTATATGCCACGTAATTACGGAGGCAACTTTGCCTTTCTGTTCAGCTGGTGTAACCGTCGCGTGTTCATTCATTCGAATGCCTAGGTTTCGATCATTGCGTCCAACCTAACTGTTCTCACATCTACATGTGAATTTGTATAAGCAATGAGACATGCACAGATTCGACACTGGTGTCTTCACCGAACATCTATGCAGCGGTCCCATGGACAGGAGCAAGCATGGCTCTGCTCCATTGTGTGTATTTTTCATCGAGGCGCGTATTCATTTCGCGGTGACTTTCATGAGCTGACCACCTTTGTCAGTTGCATGTACTTGGCCAACGAGTATGCGTGAGATGAGAGTGTCCTTCCACAACATTCGTCTTTCGATATTCTAATTTGCAATTGCAAAGGGTGTTCGTGTTTAGAATTCCCAATTCATAAATGTAACTTTGATTCCAGTTAGTATTTATGTATATCTTTACTTATCAGTACAATTTGTGCTGTCGGTCACCCCTGATTCTCACAGTCCAGTGCGTTCATTTAGATAGGTGCTGTCGACTCGCCGTTAAACAATGTTTTCTGCGGTAAGATTCCGTGTGTTCATTTTAATGTATTAAAACGACCTAGTTTTAACTGTTCGCTTAGTCGGATCGAACGATACGACCCCGCGAGTATTACCACCTGTCGCGCGAGACTCTGCCGCTCGCTATTGACGCAACCAAACCCAATAGGGAGAGGGAACTCTCGATGGAAGATGAACCCAACGAATTTGAATATGGAGCTGTATGGTCCTGATTACCTAGGAGGCTAGCAACCTACTTGAGATTCCAGGTAGCACAGTCAAACTTGAGGAAGCGGGGGCGTAGCGTAACATGTGGGTTCACACGGAAGTGAATGCCTCTGTCAAAGTGAGTAAACGGAGGCGTTTCTTACTTGGATGGGGTTTAGAGGATTTCGTGTGTTCGTGCATTCCGCTAACAGTAAGCTTCGCTTTCCCATCTGGAGCCTGAGGGGAACCTGTTTATGACATGAAAAGCCACCATGATAAATAGGATTTCCAAACTGTGTTGAGCTGGTACTTACGTGTGCAATTTTTTAGACGAGGACTTGGGAGCTGATGATAGCAATTTTCATCGACTCTGATATGGCACAGCTGCGACGTTAAAGGCGCTGTTGTATTCAGTATTTTGAGTGCAGTCAGTTATTTCACCGGACTAGTCGATTAGATTTTAATCCATTTCAACTTTACTCGCCTGTTTTCTCTTTCCTCTTCAATTTTACTTTTCAACCTCATGTGGACACAAATCAATGTAACTAGGTCCACTGCAATTCGGTTCCCAAATCATATTTGTTTAAATGAATCGAACTGATATACCAGGCGTTCAATTCAACCTTCTCAAATTAACTTCTCTTTCTTGGCTTTCACAGCCGTCAACTCCGACACATTGGACGAAATAATCGACTCCGTCCTGGCCAGGTACACCCGAGACACCTCTCTGCCTGTATGTCCCTCCAACTCTAGTGATGCGTCCGCCCCTCCGAGTACGAGCAACGGGGACTTACAGACGAATGAACTGGTGTCACCAACGAATCCACCGACTCATGTCCGGGCGCCTGGGGTCCCCACGTTGCTACAACAGATGATACTTCACAAACAGCGCCAGTCCGAGTCCATTGCGCAATCAGAAGTTGATATGGTCGAGGAACCAAGCGAACCACCCACCTCTGTTTCTGTTCCCCAACCTCCTGTCGAGGTCCCTCGAACCAGGCATTTTTCTAGCCTTTCGGCCACCGATCGACTGTTGCAACTCAGCCAGTCTATCTTAGGCGATTGATGCACCTTTTCTACTTTACAAACTTGATTTTGTCTTTGTACATATTCCCTTCCATCTTATGGTGCAGATTTTGTAATATATACTATCTACAACAAAACATCTATTCTGTAAACAATCACATTCCCCTAAACACTCGATTGCTTGATTAATTCCCCCTATGTATGCCACTGTAGACGAAACTCTGCAATTCCTCTTCGGACACAAGTCAGCGGACATGCAACAAACGTTCGTCAATCTTCAATTGTCCTTTTTTCTTGTTTAAAGAGCCAAACGCCCTCATCGGAAGCTAAAACTCAAATGATCTGGCCTACTTGCTTAATTCAACTAAATCAACTAAAGTCAACTAAATCAAAACCGATCTTCGCAAGCTATTCCGTTCTTGTTTAAGCTCTTCAACTTCAGATAGCCTGACTTGATAGCCGAATCGGGATCGTTACGCTCGACGGGTTGCAACTTTATTGCTGAGCCACCGTAGCTGTGACACCGAAACATCTTCAGCTTCGGAACCGTTCCCGTTTATCGGAATGACCGGGGCTTTATCCAAACAAACCGTAGTTCAAATTGAACTTGTGTTTCACGATCCATTCGTATTATGGTCCACAAGGATGCGCCACGTCGGTCTGTTTGGCTGTTTCTAACTCAACCGCTCCTGTTGGTTTCTCAAGAAGCTAGGCTTCGACCACCAGTTTGATCGTCACAAATTACGCAGCAATACCATGGGGTGAGGCAGTGAAAAACGTGCCCTTATTATCATCGGCACTTATTACGAAGGGTGGCTGGACCCTCACAACGAGACTGGACCTTAACGTAGTGCGACGGTTTGCGTACCTCGTCGACCCATTTAGCTACAGTGAGTGGTGCCCCCGGGGCACATTGAGAGCTGGTCCATGCTTAGAGATCAGACAAACTCAGTCTCCTAGTCCTCCAGGTTGGGGTTTGGAATGGATGGCGTCCATTACTGTGAAACTAAATTACGACCTCTCCGCTGCCTTGCGGACAGGCTTTTGAGCCCAACGGCTTTGGTTGGGGACCCTAATCGTCCTCTTGTTCAAGTCTGTGCGCCCTTGAAGTATATCAGCCCACGTAAACCGTAATTTCTCCTTAAAACTTCACACCTTGCATCGACCATTGCGCAGATTATCAAGCGCTGCCTTATCTGCTGCATACAGCAAGGCGGATAAGCGAAGACATGCTGCTGCTCGCGCCTCCCTTCTTTCCTCTCCACCTCTTTCTTACTTTCTTAATCTCAATTACTAACCTACATTCTATAGTTCCCAGCTTATTTGACAACAGCCGTAAGGACACTAGGGTCGAGACAACTGCAGCTTTGTTTCAGCACCACCCACTTTACACCTGTCGGCAACAGTCCCTTATGATGTCACATTGTGCCGTTGCCCTTTCGGCGTTCAACATTCACTCTGACGGATAGCAATGCGGCAGCCATAGAGGAATCAGTCTGATCTCCATCGTCCCCAAATTGCTTGCCTCTGTCATCCTTCACAGACTGACTGGCACTCGTGAAAGCCAGGTTCGTGAAGAGCAAGCCGGGTTTCGTCGAGGTCCTGGCTGCATTGACCACATCTTCACCTTGCGTCCGTTGTTGGAGCACCGTCACATATATTGGCGGCCCACCATTGTCGTGTTCCTCGATGTCAAAGGTGCATTCGATTCGGTGGATAGACTTGCACTTTGGGACTGTGTACTCAGGAAATGTGTACCTGAGAAATATGTGAATATTATCCGAGCATTATATGCGCGTAGCTCGGGCAGAGTGAGGGCTTACGGCAAGTTGTCGTCGCCCTTTAATATCTCCAGCGGTGTGAGACAACGATGCCCGCTGTCGCCTTTCCTCTTCAACTTCGCTGTTGACGGAGTCATGGAAATCGCGTTCACAGGCCACAACTTAGAAGGTGTGGATTTGCTCCCAGGAGCACGACTTCTTGACTTGGAGTATGCTGATAATATCGCCCTGATCTGTGACAGCTCACAAACGTGCCAAGCGGCACTGGACAGATTAGCACTAGCTGTCCGTCAGTTCGCGCTTTGCTTCGCACCCTCGAAGTGCAAAGCGTTCCTCCAAGATTGGTCTGGACCGCCTCCTTCGCTAACCGTTGATGGGGATCAGCTAGAAGTCGTTCAAACATTCAACTACCTGGGAAGTTGTGTCAGCGCCCGTGGGGTTGAAGATGAGATCACGAACCGTATAGCAAAAGCTCGGGGCGCTTTTGCTAACCTTCGCCACTTATGGCGGCTGCGCGACATCACTCTTGCCCTGAAGGGTAGAGTGTACAATGCAGCAGTACGTTCGACCCTATTGTACGGTTGTGGAACCTGGCCCCTTAAAGCAGCGGACCTGAATAGGCTAGTTACGTTCGACCATTAGTGCCTTCGCATTTTAGCTCACATCTGGTGGGAACACCGCTTGAGAAACGAGCGTGTTCGACACCTTGTTTATGGCACAGGAAAAGGAACTGAACCGGTCAGCACTGTTGTTTCACGCACCAGGCTCCGATGACTGTTCCACGTGTTACGCCTGCCAGCCCACCGACTCCCGCGAGGTGCGTTGTTTGCGCGCCGGAGGTGTGGATGGAAGAAGAGGAGGGGTGGCCAAGCAATGAATTGGTCGAGAAGAATGAAGGCCCTCACTTCGGAGCTGGCCTCGGTTGGAGCATCTCGGCTCCCTGGTTGGGGTCCAAAGACGATGAACACGTTTGGTTGGACACACTTGCTGATATGGCTAGGAGCCGACCTCAGTGGCGTTCGTGCTGTGAGTTTCTTTGTCCCACCCCATCCCTCTTAGCCTCCCCCTCCAACCACGATCACATTATTTAGCCTTATATTATTTTGCATAGTAATTTTTTTGATGCACAGTAGCCGGCTGGTAGCTTACCGGAACGATGCCCATCCGTTGCCGGTAGCTCAGCCAGCTTGCACCAGTTGCTTTTCCCCCCTTTTTTCTATGTATTGCGGCACAGTAGCTTAGGTGTTCCCCACGTCTAGCTAACATGTATGATGATGATATCTGACAGATTGTTCAACAGGCTACACTCGCACGCACGTTGGACACACTGAGTATTGACATATGTTGTGTATCCCACGCTAGGATCAATGACCCTCCTAATGTTGTTAAATTAACTGCGCCGGGCTTCTCATCTCGATATTGGTTGTACGCTTCCGGAGACGCTGATGCACCAACCACTAATCGTTTTTTCAGAAACGTAAAACATTGGGTCCCCTTTAGCCACTTGATCAAAGCAGCAAGAAGACATAGATTGCGATATGTCAACATTTTGATTGTTCTCCTCAGTCGCGTACACAATACAAGCAGAAGCACATACACAAATATATACATGGAAAAATTGGCACACCAATCAAAATGTCAAGACCAAGGCAATTTGATTGATTGATCAGATTGCCTAGGTCTTGATTTTGACGTTTTGGTTAGTGTGCAAATTTTTTCCTATGTATATATTTGTATGTGTTTCTGCTTGTATTGTGTATGCGACTGAGGAGAACAATCGAAACGTTGACATATCGCAGTCTTTGTCTTCTTTCTGCTTTGGTCAACCACTAGTCCGGCTGGAGTTTGCCTTGTAGTCAACTCCAAGGTTGAGTCTTTGTTGGTTGATCGGGTTCCCGTTTGTTTACTGTCCGTTTGACGGCATCGACCAAATTTGATTCCCGAAGTAGTACAAGACGCTGTTTGTTTGTGGTTTCCGCTGATGCCCGCGTCGTCTGCAGTTCTGATGCTACCAAGGACGCTTTCTACAACGAACTGAACACGCTACTCCGCAGTGTTACCAGTTTGGATATCATAGTACTTGTAGGGAATATGAATGCTCATGTGGGTCGTCTGAGCTTTTCAGAAGCTCAGCTAGGTGTTACTTATGGGCTTAACTCCGAACGGACGGACAACCGCGAGCATCTGTTACAGTTGTGTGTAGAGCAGCGACTTTTCTTAGTAACCGCTTTTAGACACAGTGGGCGCCGAAGTTCCACTAGGCATCCTGCAGCTGGCCAACGATCGACCTATATAAATTAGCTTACAGTTTATGTGGCTTCATACTTTACTGTCGCTCATTCTGAAATACCTGCGTCGGCTCTGATCATGCTTTGGTAGTATGTCGGTTTTCCATAGAATTTATCGGCGGGCGTTTCAAACGTCTGCCTCTATTGTCAACTGAGCAGTTATCCTAGTCCTCGATCAGGCAAGCCTATCAGGATGCTCTGCCTACCGAACTTTCGCTCTATTGTCCTAATGACACTGGGTTTCAATGGCATAGGATATCGACCGGCATGCACGCTGCGGGAACCTCCGCTTGCGGCACTATCTATCATCACCGCATCGGTCACTGGATACCCGAGAGATCAGTGAACCTGTTGGAATCCAGGAGGAAACTCCAGGCTAGCTCTGAGCATACTGTAACCAGACGGACTATTTAACGGGAACAAAGCGGAGTCTGCGCCCTGACAAGGAACGTTGGTGTATCAGTGGGGCTCAATAAATGGAGGAACCATGAGCGGTAGACAATTATCGCAAGCTTTTCCTGCTGATTCGCACCACTGGTCCCAGAACGCAAGGCGTCAGGGAGTCAATCAGATACACTGTGATACCACTGATTCACCATAAGAAGCGCCGTATGGCTCATTGGGCGGAGCAGTTTTACCACCTACTTCCGGACCTTTTCCCACTCAGAGACTGCACGATGAGCTATGGACAGTTATTTTAGAGGCTCTATCGGAGGCTGAGGTACGAAACGCGATCACAGCCCTCTGTCGTTTTCGTGCCGCTGTCCCGGATTCCCTCCCACCTGCATTATTTAAGGATAAAGGTACGGTCCTCTGCAAAGCACTGACCTTTTTATTCGAATGTATCTGGAAGGAAGTGTTCCGGCTAATTGGATCCAATCGATTATACTGGCAATGTACAAGAACGACAGTCGCACAGATTGTGTTAACTACAGGGGTATTAGCTTAACGCCAGTTGTGACAAAATTATTGACCTCAATTCTCGTTCGTCGCATCACTGCGGAACGACACTCCCGGTGTAGGGAAGAGCAAGCAGGTTTTCGCCCAGGACGTGGCTGCATATTCTTTTTGTGGCAGGTGCTAGAGCACCCCCACGAATATCGTAAACCGCTAATAGCCGTGTTTTTGGACTTGCAAAGTGTATCCGATTCAGTCGATCGATGCATTCCCATCGAGATACTTGCGCGTAAAGATGTTTCCATGAAATATGTGAACATTTTACTTTCTCCATATTGGAACATGACAGATCGTGCTAGGGTCTACAGTGACTTGTCGGATAGCTTTCTGACAACAAGTACCGTTCGTCAGGGTTATCAAATTTCCCCATTTTTGTTCAACTTTTTCATGGAGTGCTCTCTTCTGGAGCCTCACGATGCTGCCTGGTGAAAGGCTAATTGATCTTGCTTATGCGGGCGATATCGTCTTACTGTTTAACAATGTTGGGGCGACGCAATCAATCCTGAATAACCTGTGTAATGTGATTCCATTATTTGGTATGCGCTTCGCGCCTTCAAAGTGCAGTGTTGCTGCAACACCACTATCCACTTGATGATCCCTTGGCCCTAGATAAAGTCAAAGTCAAAATAAGCTTTATGTATCCAGATGGGTACCTTTTCAGCACTTTACACTATCGACAACCGATGAGCTAAAAGTACCTTATCAGAGCTAAATTTGTGTAAGTGGATAAAAGAACACTGTGTAGAAGTGTCACTTGAATAAACGATGAGTGTAAAATCGAAACAATCCTGATCATCCATCTTCACGTGCGCAGTATCACGAACTTTTCTCAAAGATTACGCGAAGGATAGCAGCGGTGACCTTGGAAATAGCTTAACAAATATCAATGTCGAAATTTTCTGAGAAAAGTAATGTATCCATAGCAACATTGTAAAAACGATGTTCAATGACAACGGCCCGGCCGATTTATAGGCCCTGCCTAAGTGGCTGATCACTTCACATAACTTGGCAGCTTTATCAGCAACGATGTGTGCATAGCAACTGAAGTCAGTTCACGCCTTGCAAAGGCCAGAATTACCTCCCTGAATCTCTGACATCTTTGGCGGCAGAAAGGAGTTCCCCTCCATCTGATAGGCCGTGTTTACGGTGCTAACGTGAGGGCCCTCCTACTGTATGGGAGTGAGACTTGGCGCCTTCAGTCTGAAGCTCCGACGCGTCTTCAAGTTTATGATCATTGCTGTCTGCGAAGCATTGCTGTTGTTGAATGGCACCAGCGTTTCCGCACCGAGGATGAGCTTTAGCGAGTGCTAGGCAGCGATAACCAAGCTAGTTCCTTAGAACAACAGATAGCACTGAACAAGTTTTGTTGGCTTGGGCACCTACTTCGTATGCCTGGTCATCGCCTACCATTGGGGGTTTTGTTTTGTCTGCCGAATGTAAGATGGCGCAAGGCTCGAGGTGCACAAAAGTTGACTTGGCAGCGTGAAATGGAGTCACTGTCGGTCCGTCTCGCCTTTCGGGCTAGAGTCCACGTGACTTGCCTTGTGCTTGGCTCGATACTTACAGGACATGGCTCGCAGTCGACACCAGTGGCGCGTCTGCTGCCGCCTAATCGGATTGCCTGTTTATAGTGTCTTCGATGTTGGGTTATCTGCGGGGTAATGGCTGATTATGACGCGGGTCAACGAAAGCCGCAAGGAAACTGTCTCACTTGCACGATAGCCGGCTCTTCGTGACAATATGTTGTTGACAGGGTGTACGCACCTTGACGCTGAAACATGGTATTCTTCAGATACACTTGGCACTAATCTGATGATTCCAAACTACCATCTATTTCGAAAAAATCGCTGCGACAGAAAAGGTGGATGGTGTATTATATACCTATGCAAAACATTTACAGTTAAACCTATAGACCACTCACAATTGGAACATATCCCTGAATCTATTTGGCTCTCCGTTGCGATGTCTCATCTTGCACACTGCTCGCACGTATCTACAACCCACCGAATGCGTTTAACATATCACCAACCTCACTTCTGCATTTGACTTCGCATCACAGTTGCCACAAAGCCAGCAGATTATTGCCGGCGATTTCAACCTACCGAGAATACGCTGGTTATCCCACCCAACGTCTACTTTGCACGCGTCTTTTCTTTTTTCCGTCAGAGCTTGGGGCTGGATACAATGGATTACCAGGTCCGCCAATATGCTGAATATTCACATTGGGAATACCCAATCCATACACCGAGATCTTGTACAATCTCCCTGGCAGCGACCATAACATGATCTGACTCAGCTTCCAAATTGAAATGGTCACGAAATTCGCCTTTACAATGCAAGTTGCAACCCTAAACTGCGAATGCTTTCAGCAGTTCATTCATTTCTCCGACT